TTGAGTAGAGAAAAAAAACTCAACCTGCTAATTATTGGAAACTATTTGAAATAAGTTGTTAATTTGTGACCCTTTTGATACCTATAGTATGTATATAAACAAATTTCTCATTAAGAATCAATTTCACTTCTCAACCATTAGTCATCCACTGATGTCAGTATTTGCACCTCAAAGTTAGCATTTTAATGAAGACTCGAAACGTTAATGTAGATATAATTCAACTTCAGAATAAGTCATGCCTTATTACTATCTATTAAATAGATTTCAAAATCAAATTAACATTTGCATTTAGCATATAAATGCATTCTTTTGGCGACCTTATAAATGAATATTGATGTCATAAAACCTATTCTAATACCCACCACTGTACGTTATGTTTGCATGCATTGAGCTGCATCGATGATGCCTGGTTTGCAAAGGGAGATTTGAATCTACGGTCAGGCCACATCAGCCCCTGTGCATGACCTCGCACAATGAAGAGCCAACAAGCGTTTCTACATACGAGTAACTACTATCTATGTAGGTGAGTATGTCCTGTACAACAGAGCCCTTTGTGCATTGGGGAATTATTTGAGGGAGCAGTAAGTTTGCTTTTGCAATCGAGCTGAACTAAAAAGTAAACCTCCACTTGGCTATTGGCGACAACAAAAACAATCAAAACAAATACAAGAAGAGTGCAGCAAAGTTTCATCAAAAGCATTTCCTTGTTGTCAACTAAGTTCTTAGTCCTGGTCCTGGGAGGGGAAGTGGGCTAAGCAATTGGCCAATGAAGTTTTGAATTTCGTACTGGAGTTGATTGAGCTGCGCTTTTGTCAAATTAAGCGACAGTCTTAGTTATATGCATAGCAGATGCTGTGATGACTTAACAGAGAACTGTTAGTTAACAGCAGTACTCACGTGCTACGAGCATGCGCAGTGAGCATAAAACTGTGCCCAGTGTTTTGGGAACACTGTAAATGTGTGTCGCTCGCCACACACAGTGCGTATGATTGATAAACCAAATAAATATTTGCCACTGCTACGGCTACGGCTGCTGTTGGTGATGGTGTGTGGCATAAATGTTTATTGACAGCATTCTGGTGATGCTGAGAAAAATAGCGCCAAAAAGCATTGATGGCAAGCATATTTTGAGATGGGGAGATGGGTGATGAGCGTTTGTTTGGCTAGGCGTTGGTCGCAATGCGTGTGCTATTCATTGTTGTTGTTGCTGCTCCCGCTGGTGACGAGGTAAAGCGTGCCAAACATCTGTGTATTATGGCACATACACACACACACATACACACACAAGTAAGCATATATCACATACACACACATCGTCATTCATATGGCACTGCGACTGACAGCAGTGACCTTGAAGGCAGCCTCGTTGCCGCTGCCTTACAGCCTGACAAGAAGAGAGAGATACGCGGTCTCTATTGTATACGAGTGTATACATATGTATAAGTGTATACGTGTGCGTGTGTGTTTGTGTGTATGCATCACGTGTACTTTGGGTATATATGTGTGAGGATGTATGTGTGTGTGTGTGTGTGTGTATGGGTGCGTTCGTGTCTGTTTATTTTGTGTTTTCTGAGCGTGGGCATTACAAAATCTAATGAAACTTTCTTTCGCCTGCCAAAATGGAATTACTTGCTCAATATTTAGACAATTGCAAATGGCGTAACGGCTGTTCTTGTTGTTGTTGGTGTTGCTGTTGGTGTTGCTTTTACTATTCTTGTATCTGGCATTGTTGTTGTTTTTAAGTGTCGCTATCTCATTACCGTCAAGTCTATTGGGAATTGTTGCTTGCGCTGTGCTGAGGCCATTAGACAAATTACAAGCTTCCCCGGCAGCACGTGCTCTTCACAAATGGGTCATCTGCAATGGAAAAGTAAAATGTTCGCAAAAGCTTAAAGTTTTCACAGCACAACTAACAGCTGGCTGTCAATTAAAGTTTCTTCAGCCAACTGATTAACTAAGTAAACCACTGAGGCAAACTGTCAGTATCTGTTAATTATTTTTTGATATATAGATAGATACAGAGTTGTGTTGCATCTTATTCGCGCTTATTTAGGAATGTATTTTTGAATATGATATATTTTTAAATAAATAATTTTGTATTATTTTTTTTAAGGGATTTAATTAGTTTAAAAAGTTATTGCAGAACGGATATTAAATAATTTTGTTATATATGTTTTTAAATGCTGACGGCTATCACTTATTTATCAATAAAAAGTAACAATATTGCAATAAACACTATGTTTAAAAACTTGTTGCTGTTGGAGAAAAGTGCGGGAAATAATTTCTATAGCATTGAATATAATGTGCTGAGAAACGAATTTAATTATGTGGAAGTAGGTGGAATAAAGGCTCCACAAAATGAGTTGAAAGGCAGCCAAGAGCTTGTGATACTAATTATAAATGAATTAAAGAGTGCATATGTATTTTGCAGTGGTGCCAAGACAAATAAAATACATTTGGTGGTTCCTTCTTTGAAGTTATCTGCAAGCTGTCAGGTTAATATATTGTCAAATACCTGAGAGTTGCATAAAACATAATTAATTCAATTATTGATATAAAGAAATAAAGTTTAAGTAGGTGTCTATTAATAAAAGTTGTGCTGTTGAACAAGGAATTGTAATTTGAAAAACGTTTTTTATTGAAATATTCATTACACTAAAGTATTTGGAAAAACGTATGGTCCAAAAACTTAAAAATATAGAATAAAATATAAATGGCCAGAAATAAAAAGTTGCCCTTTATAACATCACAAGATATAAGTAGTACTCGTGTGCTTCAAAATAAACGAACTGAGAACATCCTACAATACTAATATTTAATCTGAACCTAAGTTCATACATTAATTCTAAGAATTTCATTTTGTTTTTTATTCCACAATTAATATTGTTAGCTAAAATTAAATCTATAAACGTCTTCATCTTTGGAATTAATTATTGAATGTCCTTTGGATAATTATGAGACAATCCTGAGATAAGCTGAAAGGTCACCCACAAACTCAAACGAACAACATTATCTTTTAGAAAAATTGCGTTTGCAACAATAAATAATAAATAAGCTGAATACATTGATAAAAACAAGGTTGAGACGAAATATAAATCCTTTTCACATTACTTGTCTGGATTGCATTACTACTTAGCATAGTCAGAATTTTTCAAACGAAACTTCTTTTCTTGCCCCCAGAAAAGTATAGAATGTGTGATTAGACGTTGTGCCCATTAATTCATTCGTAGTGCACTTTAATTAGTAGATTCATTAAACAGAAAAGGACCTAGAGGGCTTCCACATATGGAATGCACAGCTGCAATCAACAGTCATTTTGTGGATTCGTCTGTTGCTTCAGCCATCAATGTCTTGAATCGTATTACAATTTAATTGTTAAGACAGAGTCGTCCGTGTGTCCAAGGCATCTCATGTCACTGTTTGCTGCTGTTGCTGCTATTGATGTTGTTGGTGATGGTGATGTCGTTGTTGTTGCCGCAACGTTGCGTGCTGGATTTGCAGCTGTCAGCGTGACAAGCCCCGCCACTCCTCCTTCACTCCTTTATTATGCCCTTTGTGCTGTGCACTAAATGCCCGTAAGCCATCCAGTCGGAGCCAACGGGTGAGTTGGTGAAGTCGGGACAGGCAGTCAGTCAGTCAGTCAGTCAGTCATGCAGCCATTTGCCATTGTCTTCTCAGTGTCATGTTTTGTCGCGCCCTGCTCGCAAGCATATACATATACACCCACACATCCTACATGCATATACAGATACATACATATAGAAGATACAAATAGGGAGAGTTGCAGGCTAGCATTTGGCGACCAACTTCATTTCTATTCGCTTGTTGGCATAAATTGCTTTTGACAAGCTTCGTTGGCGTTTATTCTTGCTGATGTGATTGTTGTTGGTTTTGCTGCCTGCTGCCTGGTGCCTGGTGCCTGCTTTCTGTTTTTGTGTTTGGCTCTAATTGGGCTTCGACGGGGGTCATAGTCTGGCATTAAATGCAAGCAACTGCAATATTGTTAACTGTTTCATGTCAGTTGCACTCGAAGGCACACATTAACTTCAACAGAACTTTAGTTATAAATAGTAAGAAGCACTTAAACATACTTACACTTAAATGGTGCGTGTGTCTGTGCATGATCGTAGTGTAGTGTTTATGTGGATTGTTGGCAACAATTTTTAGCAAGTTCTGCAAACATTTGGAGAGCAAGCACAAACACAAGCAACTTTTTTGCTTCGTTCAGGTTAAATGCGCGCGAATTGTTTTGGCAACTTTTTGATTTAACTTTTGAATAACAGCCGCAGAAGCACCGCTAGGAACAATACCAGCACCAGCATTGGCAAAAACATCTAAAGCCCTCCTTATATGGACTGCAAAGAGCAGCATGTGGCCAGAAGCATTAAAAATAGTCGAATGGGGGGGGGGGGGATATCCGAAAACAGACTTCCAAATATTTGCGCAAATTTTCGCTTTGCTCGGCTTTGCTGCCGAGTCAGCGGAGGGTAGATGCAAAAGTTGTATAAATTGATAACATTCATTAATATTTTATAATAATAAGTTAAGTAATATTTTTTTAACTTGTGTTTTCACAACAAAATTACTCCAACGAGTGAAGGCTTTGTTGAGCTGGAATAACCAGAGTTGGTATTCAGATTATCCTAGGGCCGAGAAAGGACGGGTTTTTTTGATTTATTTAAATTTTCCCCCTTCCCCTACTACAAAAATTCGTCAATGCCGTCGACATTTTAAAAGCTACATAAACCAAACTTTGCTCTGTAATTTATAAATAAAACTCTGCCAGTTCTAAGAAAAATTATTAGCGAAACAATTTCACTCCGGTACTACGCCCACAAGCCCCAGCATCAAGTTCGCTCTTCTTCTTTTTGCTTTTGCTAGGGGCGTAAATCAAACTTCTGAATCAGAACACCATTTAGGAGGCCCACCAAAAGGTCGATTCTTGTTTCAAAACGTTGTATCGTACTTACTGGAAATGTATTAAAAGTGCATCTCACAAGTTATGTAATATCAAATATATATTGTTATTTTATTTCAATTAATTAATTTAATGAAGTAAATTTTAAAAATCGATCTGAGCAAGTGGCCTTACATTTTACGAGGCATTGTGCTTAAGAAGTTCATAATATGGGGGCTTGTTCAACTTCAATGCCAATTTCAGCTTATTATGGGAGGTGCTGGATACTGACATACAGCTCTATAACGGGTACTATCGCAGTCCCAATCCATATATACTAAATTGTCTGTATGATAACAACATGGCACACACCTTTGAGTCATTTTGTTAGGATATCCAGGTAACCATATATTGAAAGGAATTTCTTCGCCAGTGGGATACACAACAAATACGCGATTTTCTTTCAGGCAATTAATTGCTGTCCAAACACCTTTAAGAAAGCAGTTTAAGTCAACATTTTCGGCTCTGAAAAATTGTAGCAGAAGTTGCCTTTCCTTTTCATTCTCCAACACGAACATCTGGGCTTTCTTCTCAAAGCAAAATTCCACGGCCAAAATCCACTCCATCTGTAAGAATTGGGAGCTAATCAACTACAATATTTAAAATCAATATAATATGTACCTCTATCTCGGATATAATGTAGCATTTTGTACCCACGAGTTTAAAGCCCTCCCGACAAGTTGCCAGCACACAACTCAACAGACTTATAGTACACAGAGATCTAACAGTAAGCATTGTATCGACAGTATTTACTGATGCCTCAGATATTTGAATACTCTTTTATAGCTGCAGATTTGAAGCTTAAAATGTGACTGCCCATTTGCTTAAATCAATAATACGAATAATAAATTCACAGACGCGATCTGTTATGCAAGACATGAAATAGTTTGTTCAAGTATTTTACAGCTCGCCATTTAAATAAAAAATAGATAATATTTTCAGATAGAAAATGTTAGAAACATTTAAGCAGTAACAGAACCAGCTTGGTCGCCATCGGTCAGAAGCAACTTCAACGGCAGATTAATAGAGCTGTCCTCCTTCCAGTTTTTATACCCTGTACCCAAAGGGTAAAAGGATATACTAGTTTTGTGCGAATGTATGTAACATACAGAAATTAAAATTAAATTTAAATTTATTTAGTAAATCAACAATAGTTCTGTCGATGCATTCTATTATAATTATTAAAATATATTTTAACATTTTATATATATTATATAAAAATTAAAATGGAGATATGATTTAATAAAACGTTATAATTTAAACTTAAAAGATAAGAAAGCCTAAGAAAAAGCTGAACAATAACGTCTATTAGTGCCTCCGACACATTGGGGGAATTTTATTTACCAGTTGGCCATATGTGGTCAGAGACATTATAGGCCTAACAAACTAAACAAATAGTAAGTAAGGAAGGAAAATGAATTCTACTTAAGATATAATTAGAAAAAATAAGGAGTAGAAAGAGAAAGAGGAAAAGAAAAAAAGAAAGAAGGAAAGAGAGATAGAAAACCAGGGAAAGTTAAAGTTGGAAAGAGAAAAATGAAAAGAGAAAGAGGGAAATAATTATGAATACTTAGCTATAAATATACTCTCTGCCGAAGCTCTGCCCGCAGCTGATGTTGTTGTTCCCGCTTTGACTTATTCCTGTACTGCATTCATACACTCATATACTCTTCTATACTTAATTATTTTTAATAACGACATTTCGTAATGCATATTTATATTTATATAGAACAATATTTTTATTAGAAAGCAATTTCCCAATTTCTTTTGTTAACACCATATTAATATTGACGTTTTCTAATATTTTTAAGCTTTGCTCAAAACTAAAATTTAATATGGCTTAACATTAAATATTTTTTGAATATTGTTCATATTTAAATCAGTAATTGAATATGTTTTCAGTTAAATTTACTTTGTATATATTTTATTAAAACATTGAAATTAATATGAGAATATTCATTTTTACTATGCAACTTTTTTTTTAATATACGCTCCTAAATAGCTCGCGGAACGGGATTAAGTTTTATCCTTTGACGTCAGATTGAATTATTCAAGATGTGTTTTTTTTTTTTTTGGAAATTCGACCTATAAGTATAATAAAGTATCGATTAAAATGTATGTGGAATAAGAATGCTCTATTACCTAAAAAATGTTTATAACTTCAATACTTTATTAAATATTTACAAATTGAATTGGTTGGAAATATATTTAAATATAGACGCACTTATATCAATAGCAAGCACTCCATTCCTGTTTAACAACACTTTAAAAGCTCCTCTAATGTAAGCTGATATCAAGCGTTAAAGCAATCGCTAAGCAAACATTTTTAAAACAATCTGATTTACATACGGCATAAATCTTTTAGGTTTTGTTTCAAACACAATCCAATTTCTGGATTATTGTTATTACAATTTCGCTTCAAGCATCACATTTGTTTAGGCTGCCAGAGGTATTAATTAATAATATTAAATTTGACATAAGGAAAATACAAGTGTTTGTCCGCGATGTTATACACAAAGACTTTAATGCAAACGTCCGCACTCCTTCCCTCTTACATATTCATTTAACCGACATCGTGCTGTTTAATGAGGAAATATGTAATGCCATTGTCTGCATCCTTTACAGCCACCATCCTGCCCAGCGCAATCCGCTTGGCTGCCAGCTGTACACATCACTGTGTAGTTTTGCACTCGTACGAGCACTTAACAAAATTTCTTTGCCAACAAAAATTAGCAACATTTTATGCTGCTAACCTTTTTATGCAAATGACGTCTACAGCGCCGTCGTCCTTCGTATGGCGGGCTGTTTCCTCCAGCTGAGTAAATGGAACATTTGCGGTTTAGTGGACAGCAGAAAAATGGAAGAGAAAAGGGGAGTTTCGGCTTCCACAATGAGTAGTTATTTTTTCCATTTGGTCAAAATTTGTTCACGTTCTGCAGCGTCCCGTAGATACATTTAACATTTTTGTGGTTCTTCCTTCTATTCTAATCAGTTTGTTTGTTTAGGCTGCGTGTGAGTATGTGTATCCTTTTGTCCTTTGCATGAAAAATGTGCACATACTCGCACATTTCTAATTACGCACACGCGGTGTATACGTTACACCAATATGTTTTGGGCTTGAATTTTAATTTAAATGGATTTATTTTGAATTTATTTTTGTAATCTGGCCAAAATGAAATGCCGCTACATACATAAATAAATGGGAGTTTTATGTAAATATGTTCTGTAAAATATTGCAGGATAATCGACAAACTTAAATGGCAATTTGTCCACAACGATAGAAATGTTATTTATTTGGGTTTAAGATTGGACACAAATTAAACAGCCACCACACCCATAAAATTAAACTGTCATTTATAGCGCGTTTAGAAAACTGAAATACAGTGCAGAAATTACGCAAATTGTTAAAGGAACTGCGAGTATGAAGCAATTGGATTGTACAATTTTTATTGTACAATTTCTTTACGAATAGCCATAAAATATGCTTCTGGATTATCTACATTAGATAAGGTTAGGTATTATGATGCAAATAATCACCTTAGTTTTTATTGGTCCGCTTTTAGCCACGATCTCCAGCTTTGGTATTTCTCTGATATAATTGGAAAAGGGTTGCCCTAAAGCAATAAATCTGGGCCTGCTAAGTGCTGGACTCTGACAAAGAAGACGATCACGTTGTCATCCTTCTCCTGGGCTCTGCAGGTGCTGCAGCAATTATTTGTAATTATCAATTGCAATTATTATTTGTAAAAAAGACTGCACACATTTTTTGTTTGTTTGAGGAGTGTTGTGGTTCTTTTAATATCCAACTCCGGTTTTGCCAGCGATGCAATAACACAAAAATAACTTTTCTTTCATATCAGCTTCGTTTAAATGTATGTCAATTGATATTTTTCCACTTCAAAAAGTAAACGCTTCAGAATTGGTTGCAATTTTTCTTTTTTTGCAATTTTTGATTGCCATCAACTTCCTTATTGCCAAAGTTCAGTGATATCTTTCTGGCCATGTCTTTTCAATAAACGTCTTTCAATTTTATGCTCAACATTTCGCACATTTCATGGCCATTAGATGTGCACATAAATTTCCTTTTGCATTGCTGTTTCAGTTTATTTGGATTTTTCCTAATTTTTTTTCATCCACAAAAGAAAGTTATGGAAAATATAAATTTTTATGCAAGACCACAAAACCGCTGACCAGGCAAGGAGGATGGCAGGCTTCTCACTTGGCGAGAAAGTGCGGCACTCCAACTGAGACCGCGCGGTTGACCGACAATTTATTACAATTACGTCAAAATTCATTTGCAAGCCACAGCCGGGCGTCATAAATTAGAAGCTGCAATGCAGTGATAATGCTGCCAAAAGAAGAAAAAAAAGTAAATGGAGAGTGCCGACTCTACGGATGCTCACAGCCACAACTCCACTTGCCAAGTTGCTCAATTGAATGCAACGCCCCCCCACACACACACACACACACACACACACACACACACACACACACACACACAAACACACTCTGATTTGCATTTTGGCCGACGCATAGTTTAGTGGGTCACATGCAAATGGGTCAGACGGCGCCAGGGTTTTTCGGTTGGTTGTTTTCCTCAGTTTTGTGGAGCAGATGCCAGCAAAGTTGCATAAATCAGAGCTGCTGGAATGAATGAATGAATTAGAATGAGAATGAAAGCAAAATTGGTTAAGGAATATAATTTAAATTTTATTAGACTAAGTCTTGGGGGCAGTTAATTGAATGCTCGAGGCGGCCCTCCTTGCTGGCTATAAATATGTGCCAATTGGCATGTTTATGCCACGATTAGGGCGCGAACAAACCAACCACAATGCATGCAGTTAGACGCACAATTCGATTACTTGCTGATTGCCATTGATTTGCCAACAAAAAGGTGCTGGCAATGCTGGTGTGGGCGAGTGCGGGTGTGGAGCCCGTCCTTTATTTGCTCTCCACATATCGAATAATAAAATAAGATTTATTTAGTAGCAGCATTAACTGTTGCCCTTTGTGCACACCACATATATGTGTGTGTGTGTGTGTGTATGTATCTCATTCGCTCTTTTTCTGCGTGTCCCTTGCTAGCAATTGTGGCCTCTACGCAACACTCTTGACTTTGTATTTATGGGGCAGGATTGTGGCTGCAAGTTGAACGCCTTTTGTTGCTCAGAAAGGAAGGCAGTGCCACACACATAAAACTCAGATGAGTTTTCTTTTCATTAAAAGCGGATTTGCGCCCACACACGCACATATACACATATATAGCTTATTGTACAATAAACACCCACTCACACATTGAAAATTATGAGCAAGAAAACGAGCGGTGCAAGTAAAAATATCCTTGTACGAGTAGAATGTGTAACTCGTAATGCTGACACAGCTCGGCATTTTCTTGCCTTGCCCTCCGCAGACAGTGCTAACGAGACTTACATGGCCTACATACATACATACACATAAGTATGAATAAGTCGTTGTCTGTCTCTGTGTCTCTGTGCGCCAACTGGTCAATGTTGACACAGACGAATGTCAACAAAAGATAAGCCATTCATTTTATTCATTCATTCAAACTCAGCCCAGCCGTCTGCCTCCTGCCTCCTGCCCCATGCCTCATGCCCTAAACAGCCACCCGCTCAGTTGCCTTAAAGTCGGCCGACAGCCGAGAGTTAACTATTCCGTAATTTAAGACTTGTTTGCTGTCACTTGAGGCGCAAGTAATCGACTCTATCACTGCTTATTGTTAGTCCTGTCG